TTAATTAGTTATTGTCTACACTTATATATATATATATATATATATATATATATATATATATACATTTGTATTTATAAAATCCAAACTAATGTATTACATTGTATAGCTTAATCTTTTTGTATTACATTGCATGCACTTTATACGCTCGATAAATCACTTTTTAAGAAGTTGAAAAACTTCATAACCTATACATAGGTACTTAAAATAGAAATATAGAAATTTGAGCAAATCTTTTTTTTTGTCAACAATTTGAGCAAATCATTTAATCTACAAATAAACATTGAGACACTTGCGTACGTAAGCTTCTACTAAACTAAAAGGGTAAGACTTGATGTATCTTTCAATGATATTGAGTATGCAATATACCGAATTTACACAAGTATTTGTTGGTTTCGTGGAATTTAACTTTCAAAGGAAAAAGTAGAAGCCGGAAAATACGTATAAAAATAGTGTTGAAATGTTCGAAAATATAGAGAGAAAATGGGTATGATATTGATATTTTTCAAAGATTTGATTGAATAAAAACAATAAATAAAATTTATAATTATTCAAAATAGCGATGCTTGAGTTTGAAATGGTGATGATATTTTTATTTGTTTCCTTAATTTTTTTTTTCTGATTTAAAATTTGATTTTCTTAAAATATAAAATTATATTGTTGTATTTTGACTGGCTAATTAATAGTGGTAAATAAGAGAGAGAGTTTTGTCGAATTGTCGTCGATTCTCCATTCTATCGCTTGTGGCAAGCTATTGTCTAGTTCTTGTCTCCTTTGAGTGGTCCTCCGATCGATTTATCCTATCTTTTTCTTCTATCAATCTCTTGTAAGAGTGGTAGTAGTAGCTATCTTTGATGTATCTATGCTTGAGGTTGATGATTCCTTAAACTTTGTATACATGTTATGTATTGAAAGAAACGAAGTATGTTTTGCCCAAAATAAAAGAGAGAGAGGTTCACCTTGAACCCAAGATTTTTTCTTTGAATGTAACCTTGGTCGCATATACTAATCGACCAATCAGAATACTTTCGAAAATCCCCTATGTTTACATGTTAATCCAATCATTCAAAACATTTCCATGAATTCTCGTAAGTCGTAACCGCTGTGTTTAAACAAAAATGTAACTAATATTTTTATTTATAAAACACTCTCAAATGTGCTACTATATGCCATATACACAATATTGATTTATCAGTCCAAAGTCAACTCAACCTTCCCAATTAGATAAATGAAAGAATAAGAAAGAAAAAAGTAATAGGAAATGACCAAAAGGAAAAATCAAATTGCAAATAGAATCAAAACTTCAATTTGCTTAGCCACACTTTTGGACTTCAGAGGCATAAGAATGGGAAAAGGGGGACTCAACCTATCGAGACAAGTTGAAATTTAAGAGAAAAGTGAAGCTAATAGAGTTATCATAGGTTTTGTAGGGGTTGGGACTGAAGAAGAGCCTTATACAAACAAAAGGATCGTTCAATGCTTGTGTGACCACATCTCATCTATCACTGAACCAAATCTATTTTGCTAATCCGACAATTTCATGTTGTTGAATTGTTTACAAAGACACAAAGTGTAAGCTATCTTTGTTAACTCTTTTAAAAGACTAATTATAGAAAGTTATTGATTCTATTATGTCTAAACATTGATTAAAGAAAAATAGTCAATACTAATGAAGTTAATGGTAAACAATCAATATGTGTGAGCATAGGGTAGTTTTATTAAACCATGCAAAATATGATTATCACTTTTATGACTTTGCCTCAAAATTATATAACAACTAAGTTTTAGATTTGGGCTATCTAATAAAATTTAACCTTAGAAATAATGATATTTCAGGTAAAAATAGCTAATTAATAATCGATAAAGTCAACATAAAATAAAATATGGAAAATTTCCAAAAATAGTGTGTTGAGACCACTTTAGAAATCCATCTTATGAAATGAAAGTAGAAAATATAATGCATAAAAACATCATATATACCACACATAGACAAAACACTAAAATGTTTGTAAGAAAACACAAAAATCTCAAGCTTACACTTTTCAAAATATGTTTCATAAGAATGTATTTATAAATTTCAACATCCCTTTTTACCACTACTTGCTACCCTAAAGATTTGGCTAACCTATTAAAGCCCTAAAGTAGACTATGTTTAGTAAGAAATAAGAATGTATCTTTAACCTCAAAACCCCTTTTCACCGTTACGCACCACTAGCCTCAACATGTATCCCTTACGAGTGCAAAAGATACATTAGTATATGACGACCTCTCCTCTCCACTCTATTCCTCGCGTGTAAGACAATTTGGCTAAACCTATGAAACCCTAAAGTCTACAACATACATACATATAGGAATAGGATAATAAAGTCCATTACTCGATCCTTTATATATATACATGTTTATTGTTCACCATTCTCTATCTCCTAAGACATTCACAAAAAACAATGGCATTGCCTAATTCACTCTTCTATGCATTCTTCTTGATCTTATTCTCATCGATTCGAATGGCTCATAACATGTATATAAGCCCGTCCCCGGCTCCAAATCCGGCTTACGATGACAACGACAATATTGCACCAACCGTCTTCGACGTGACTTCGTTTGGAGCCATAGGAGATTGCGCTACCGACGACACTTCAGCATTCAAGATGGCATGGGACGCTGCATGTATGAGCACAGGGTCTAAGTCTGCACTGCTTCTTGTCCCTGACACTTTCTGTTTCTTGGTCAAGCCAACTAGCTTCAATGGTCCTTGCAGAACCCAACTTGTACTACAAGTAAGCTGGTTTCATAATCATGTTTTTATGTTGTGTGTCATAGTTTGATATTATAATGTTTTCTTTTTATAGATTGACGGGTTCATTGTGTCCCCGGATGGACCAAAGTCATGGCCATTGAACTACCAGAGGCAGTGGATGATGTTTTACAGAGTGAATGGGTTATCAATTCAAGGCTCTGGTTTTATCAACGGCCGTGGCCAGAAATGGTGGAACCTTCCTTGTAAACCTCACAAGGGTCCAAACGGAACGACTCAAACCGGTCCTTGTGACAGTCCTGTGGTTAGTCAATGTTTCACAATCACATTTTTGTGTTATATATGTCAGACTTAGTGAACTGTGAGTTAAAATGATTTGATCTCAGGCGTTTAGGATATTTCAGAGCTCCAAAGTGAGAATCAAAGGGCTTAACTTCATGAACAGTGCTCAGTTCCATGTAAGGTTTGACAATTGCAGCGACGTGGTAGTAGATTCTGTGACCATCAAGGCTCCAGCTTCTAGTCCTAACACTGACGGGATCCATATTGAGAACACACATAATGTTCAGATTCACAATTCTGTGATCTCCAATGGTAGTTATTTCTCGTTTTTGCAGTAAGTAGTTGATTTCAGTCGGTTTTATGTATCTTTTGATCTGGTTTAACAGGAGATGATTGTATTTCAATCGGAGCCGGCTGCTTTAATGTCGATATTAAGAATGTTACCTGCGGCCCAAGCCATGGAATTAGGTACTTTCATAATTTCCATTAAAGTTTTCCATCTGCCAAACTCTCTCTCTATGTGCCTCTCATAGAGTAGGCTTAGATACTCAGAAAGGTTTGTTCTGTTTTCTGGTTTGAAGTGTGAACAAAGAACTTATGGGTAATGTTGCAGCATAGGCAGCCTTGGAGTCCACAACTCAGAGGCTTATGTCTCGAACATAACAGTGACAAACTCAACTTTATGGAACTCAGACAATGGTGTTCGGATCAAGACATGGCAAGGAGGGTCAGGATCGGTTTCAAGAATTGTGTTTAGTAACATTTTGATGGTGAACGTTCGTAATCCTATAATGATAGACCAGTACTACTGCCAAACCAAGAACTGTGCTAACCAAACCAGTGCAGTCATTATTAGCGATGTTCTGTATGAAAATATCAAAGGGACTTACGACCTGAGAAGTCCACCGATTCATTTTGGTTGCAGCGACTCTGTCCCCTGTACTAACCTGAGACTCATGGACGTTGATCTTTTCCCTTCGAAAGGCCAGCTTTTCGAAAACCCCTTCTGCTGGAACGCGTATGGAAGCATGCAGATAACAATACCACCTGTTCATTGCCTGCTTGAGCCACTTCCGGACTGCTAACAGAAGATATGTTCATCGCTGTTCACACACTTGTAATCAGATTCAGAACAAATATGAACACAACAATATAAGGGTAGGTTCGAATTCAGTAAGAAGTATCGATGAAATTAGTCTAAAGGTTAGCCATTGTCCTGAAAGTCTTTAGCTTTTTACCTTTTTAGATCTACATTCGGTTGTGATAGGCTAAAAGAAGTCAATCCAGTTTGTAACATAAGAATATAATAGATACTTGAACACAGATTCATAGGCGATATATCACATTTCATTTCATCAAGCGAACACTTTTGAAGAAGAAAATGAATCTAGTTTCCGAAACTTGAGAGACATGATGCGTATATGAGAGGAGATAGTAGAGAAGTGAACTTATATTCCATTTATTGATAGGCGAATTTTTCATGGGGAGACAAATCAGTCCATGATTGCGCATTTCATGAACAAGAATATCCACATTTGGGATAACATTACTTGCAAATAGAAGCGAGTACCTCCAGCAGAGAAACCGTGAATCTCATCTGAGTTTCTTCATCCACGGCAACGAAAAGTGGAACGTGAACAAAGAGTGATTTGGTCTTGTTCTGCTCCGCGAATCTCAGAGAGTGGTAATAGACATAGTTGCACACAAATCGACCTGCATCATTTGATGATATCACCTCAAAGCCCTTATTCCCCAAAGCCTTTGTTATATCTTCAACTGGAAGAGTAGTCTGCATATCAAACACAACTCTTTGATTCAACATAAAAACAAGAATGGCCAATTATGCAGACCAAAAGATCAAGAAACACAGCTCACAGAGACAGTATCATTGTATCAACATACCTTTCTTACAGTTGAAATTGGACCATCAGAAGGAACAATTGGCAAATTCTGCAACCAACAAGAATGTTTCACGGAACCAAACAACTAATAAAACAAGAACAGCCAAAGGAGAGTGAGACAAAAACCTGAGGTTTCCAACCCAATTCATCAGGGCAACGAAAAGTCGCTTCATTCACAGCCTGTTGCTCAATTGCAAATTTCGTAGCGCCGCTATTAACTCCAAAGTGAACCTAATGAGACATCAAAATGAGTTTCCATCAACATAGAAATCAAAATCTTGTACCCTCAAACACTTGACTCAACTAACTAACTAACTAACTAACCCAGATGGTTTTTCCGGTCAATGACTCTGATTCTTCCGTTTTAACCGCAGATTGTAACAACTGATAAAGAGAAGCAAGAGCTCCCTGACCAGCCGTCTCAAGCACAGTACAGCTTCCAAGAATCAAATCTTTCGACACACTATTCTTAGCCAAATATTCTTTCAGGCTGTTCGCCATTTTCTCAGTAGGATTCTCAGCAACTCCATGGAACTTCTTGAACCCTGTGATATGAATCGTCACACCCGTTGGTCCTTCAGAACCCATCAATACAACTGAAACAATAACCTGTTCTGTCAGAGAGACATTGGATACAGAACACTGACAGTGACTCTATCCTATTAACAATCTAAGCCAGATTTAGAACAATCACACTTGATGAAACGAGTCCAGATCTCAACTAGTATAACATTATAAAATTCTATGACTTTATCAAAGTTTACAGCTTTCTCTATTTCCGTACAAACCCAACTGATTTAAACGATAAAAAGATCAAAACTTTCAGAATTCTGATCATCAAAGATCAAAATTTTCAAAAGATGGGAAGATGATCAAGAAACAAAAAAATCGAAACTTTATACCTTAGAGAGAACAGATACTGAAACCTGAGAGACGATGAACACAATTGAAAGCTTTGTGTGTCTCTTCGACTGAAATCAAATCGATTTGCCTGTAAAATCTGAGAGAAAGATAGAGAGATAGAGGAGATGTGACTCAACAACTAGTCTTTGTCCTTATCCAATCAATTGAAACCTAACTTTAATCATGTTCCACTTTGGACGGAAGTATGATAATCACAGAACATAGAGGTACATATGTTTAGTATTCTTTATTGATGTAACAAAAGTGGTAGGTCACGTACCAAAAGAGATAATAAGAACAAATCAGCAAATGATTCAATTATTGAACGAATAATTGTAAAGATGATATAATTGACATGTTGATTCAAGTGGGTGCATTGATATGCGTAAACCATTCCCTGCAACATTCTTATAAACTAGTATATAGTATATAATACATAAATCTCAACTAAACCAATGAACTTGAACCGAAATAAACCAAATAGAATGGACCAATCTCACCAATAGTCTTTACAAGAACACTCCCCATTGTTGAAATGGTGGAATCTGTTTGCATCTCTTAGAATGATCTCTCTTTCTGTCACTTTAGAAATGAGTTTAATGGCGGCGTGGCAATCTCCGCAGACTCTAAGGTTCTTCATGACCCGAATAGGCACTCCTTCGGGTAGCTTTAGAAGTCCATAAGCCACAGCGAGTCTTTCGCTGTGACGACTTAAGCTATCTACTTTCTCTTCCTCGTCTACATCGTGCAACACATGGCTTGAATCAGGACTATAACCAGCTTCTCTCAATAATCCATCTGTTTTCTCCAACATCATCAATATCATCGTCTGCTCGGGATGGTTTCTTATGCCTCCGCGAGTGAACATGTGCACTTTTTTCTCTACTTCAATCCAGCTGCAACCAGGGAATTTACTTACATTCTTTGTCCTCATGTTTTTTCTTAGTTCTGCAACATCCCCCCACTTGGACTGAGATGCATTTATGCTGGATAGCAAAACATATGGACCAGCGTTTTCTGGTTCAATCTCAAAGAGTTTCTTTGCAGCAACTTCGGCTAAATCTAGACGTGAGTGAGTTTTACACGCTCCCAACAGAGCACCCCAAACTGTAGCATCTGGCTTTACAGTCATACTGTCTATCAATTCCATTGCCTTATCTACCTGTCCTGCACGCCCAAGCATATCCACTGTGCAAGAATAATGCTCAACCGTTGGCGTCATGCGAAACTTTGATTCCATTGATTCAAATATCTCAAGCCCTACCTCAACTTTTCCAGCGTAGCTACATGCTGTCAGAATAGCAATTAAGGTCACTTTGTTTGGCATGGTACCAGACGACGGCATCTCACTGAAAACCTTAAGAGCTTCCTCTCCTAAACCGTGTGATGCGTAACCAGAAATAATCGAATTCCACATGATTATGTCCTTTGAGGGAAACCGGTCAAATACTAGCTTTGCTTTTACAAGCTCACCACATTTGACATACATCGTCATCAAAACAGAAGCAACATACACATCAACATCAAACTGACATCTCACCAAGTGAGCATGGACCTGTTTACCATATTGGAGACTCGCTAAAGAGGCACACGCCGAAAGAACGCTGATCAAAGATGGAAAACTCGGTCTGACTCCACCTTCTCTCTGCATTTGAGTAAACAAATCAAGAGCCTCCAATTCAAAACCTTTCCTTTCATAAGCTTTAATCATTCCTCGCCAAGTCGCAGTATCTCTATCCTTCATTTGATCAAAAACCCACCTCGCTTTTTCCACATCTCCTTTCTCTCCTAACCCAACAATCATCGCATTACACGCAATAACCGGCTTCACCGGCATCTCCTCAAAGAGCTCCTCAGCGTCTTCCATTCTCCCACTCAACGTATACCCCAAAAGCATTGAAGTCCACGAAACTTCAGTTTTCTCCGGCATCACTTCAAACAGCTTCCTAGCAACATCCACTTGATGATTCTGCCCATACCCGGTAATCATAGTAGTCCAAGTAATCACATTTCTATCCCTCATCTCATCAAAAATCTCTCTTGCCTCATCAACTCTTCCTTCTTTACACAACCCACCAATCATATTAGTACTCGCTACCGTATCTTTAACAGGCATCATATCATACAACTTACGTGCATCATCAATACGTCCCTCATCAATCAAACCACCAAACATCACAGTCCAAGAAACCTCATTCTTCACAGGCATTCTCCAAAACAACAACTCAGCTTCACAAACCATACCTTCTTGAACATAACCTTTCACCATCGCGGTCCACGACACGACATTCCTCTCAGGCATCATCTCAAACGCATTCCTAGCTTCTTCTATCATCCCATTCTTAATATACCCAGAAACCAATCCGTTCCAAGAAACAATATTTCTCTCAGGCATTTCATCGAACAGTTGGCGTGCTTCTCTCGGAAACCCGTTTGCGAAATAACCGGAAACAATTGAGTTCCATGAACCGATTGCTTTAAACCGTAACGAATCGAAATACTTGCGAGCTTCATTGATTTGACCGATTCGTGAAAGACGAGAGATCTCAAAACTGAAACTGACTCCACTGGCTGTGTTATACGCTCTATGTAAAATTAACTGAACCTTCTTCATTCAAGAATCAATTGCTTCAAGATGGTTTATGATTCTTAACCAATACATAAAAAAGAGACGCGGAAGTTATAAAGCTGACAATTTTGGATAGAGTCTTGAGTCTTCTTGTAAGAGAAACACTTGACTTGGAAGAGAAACAATTTTGCTGGTCTGAATGTGTTTTATTTAAGGTTCTGAATATGTTTATACTTCTTGTTGTGTTTGATTTGAAGACTTCAAGTTCCTCATGCTAATTGTGGGAACTTTGCTAAGTTCTCAAATCCGTTCGTTTGGGCTCCGTCAACAAAAGATAATGTTATAAAAACTAAGATAATGTTAAGTTCATGTTTTGAATTGCTTTATAAAAAGTTTGTGGTTTAAGTGGCCTAGATTCGAAATTTCGTGAATTAAATGACATTTTTCCCATTAGAGAAACGCTGAGTAATGATAGATTTTTCTTATGTAATCAAAAATTCGAATTTACGACCAGGTTATTTAATTTCAGGGCTATATACTATATAGATGAAAAATTACAATTTTAAGAACATGGACGTTTATTATATAAAGTTAGATTTTAAAGTTAGTAATTGTGATTATCACACGTTTCTATTTTATCGATTAAAAAAGTGTTATGTACTTCTCTGTTATATAATAGATGATTTTTTAAGAAATGCACATATATTAAGAAATTATTTTATTTTTATATAAAAGTATTATTTAATATTTATTTAAACACAATTCAACCAATGGAAAAAGAATCTACATAATATAAATTGATGAAACCAATAAAAATCTAATTGATTTTGCATATATTAGTGAGAAATTAACAGTTAATTTGTTATATAAAGTAATTTAAGTTAGATATATTATAGCAATTAACAATTTCATTAATTTGCTCATTTCTAAAATTTAAAGTTTTATTGTATGAACTTGCCACTTTTCACACTTATGTTAATAACTTTGTTTTTAAAAGATTTTGTAAAAATTGTCCTAAAATTTTGTAATATTCTATAGATATTTTTTAAAGATTTTACAGCTATATTATTTCTAAAGATTTTTTTTATTAAAGTTGTCTATGCCATTTGTTTTGTATTCAGCTGCTTTCATATCTTCCATTTGTTAACCATTTATCTTATAAGGATTTCTTTCCTTGTTTTTAGCACTTAAAAGAAAATATATTATGGACATAAATATGGTTAAAACCAAAAAGATAACTGTGAAGTAAATCTTGAATACAAGATTTACATTAATTATACAACACTATAAAAGAAACACGATTGTGTTATTATTGTGTATGCCCAATAGAGTGTAAATGGCGAACGAGAACGTTTCACAAATTTCTTCTAGCCGCATAATTTACCAAGAAAACATGGAGAATAAGATTCAGACAATCAGCGAGCTTCCAGATAAAGTGTTGTTGAAGATATTATCTTTGCTTCCAAGTAAAGATGTCGTAGCCACAAGTGTCCTATCAAAACGATGGCTATCTCTTTGGAAGGATGTGAAGACATTCAGGTATGATGGCGAATCCGCAAATAGAACTTACTCGAAATTTGCGCGATTTATTAACAGGAGTTCAAGCGTAGAAAGCATGCATCTCAAGCTTAATCCATTTTTTACGAATAAACACATCAAACCTTTGCTTAACATGGCAGTTGCTCGCTCTTTGAGAGAGCTGAGAGTTGAGATGGTTTGTAATTCCTTCGAGTTGCCTAAAAGCTTTTACATCTTTTCACAACTTAAAACTGTCATACTCGAGAAAGTTAGTTTGGAAGATGTTCCACCTGATGTTCATTTGCCTTGTCTTAAACGTCTCCACCTTATATCGGTTAAATTCTCGGGGGACGAATCTGTGAAAACACTTCTAAGTCTATGTCCACTTCTTCAAGATTTGGTAGTGAAACGAAGCTCTCTTACCAATGTAATGATATTTAGGATTGATGTGCCTACACTGAGGACTTTGTCTATCGATAATACATCCGGGAAAACTCGGCCTAAAGGTGTTCATGGATTTGTAATAAATACCCCTTCTTTGAGGTATTTTAGCATAAGGGACAGCTTCAGCAACTATTTACAGTTCGAAAATATGCCTGAGCTGGTCAAGACGAGTGTCAATGTTGTTTTTGACAACCCTTACAAGTTTCTAGGATCTCTTGCCACAACCCAATATCTTTCTCTGTGCTCTGTCACTTCACATGTAAGAACTTTTCTTTTTTAATTGTTTTCCAAATATCTAACATGTTTTACTGTAAGGTTTCATCGTAACTCGTACTCATGTTTTGCTTCAATTTCCAGACAGCATACCGTCCTACTTGCACTTCTTTCCTCTATCTTGACCATCTAGAGCTTTGCTTATGTTCTGCTGAGCAGTGGAATCTATTCACTCGTATACTCAATTATGCTCCTAGACTTCGAGTTCTCCAGCTCAAACTGGTATGTGGATCCTCCTTCAAATTCCTTAGTACCTTTTTTTTAGGTATTGTGTTTCAACGTTATTATGGGCCTAAAACTGAGTTAATTTATATTTTCTGTCTTGTAGTATCATAAACAATGTGGTAAGGACACGAAAATTCCAGTTTTGAACAAACCAAATTTTGTTCCTCAACTGGAGATCTTTGAATGGAGACAATACAATGGCACAAAGCAAGAGAGAGAAGCTGCAAAGTACATTCTAGCAAACGCGAGTCATCTGAAGAAGGCGTCATTCTACTCAGAATCTGAAGAGAAATATGGGATGTTCAAAGAGTTAGAATGTGTGGTCAGAGGTTCAAAAACATGTCAGCTTGTGTTTGAGTAAAAAGCTTGGTTTATTCATAACTTGGACAACGTTATAGTACCTTGTTTTCAACGTATTTCCTAGTGTTCCTAGTAATTTATTCCCTAAATCTATATTTCTTTTTGTCAATTTTACTGGTTTTAAAGAACATAACTAAATCAAAATTTGACAATGGTATATACAAAATCTTATTAACAAAATATACTACAGTAAAACCTCTATAAATTAATAAATACTATAAATTAATAAATTTTGCTAGTCCCAAGTCGGACCAATGTAAAAATTAACCAAATTCGATAAGATAATAAGATAATATTTTTTTTTGAAATCCCTATGTAAATATAGTCCCAATAATATCATAAATTAATAATCACTATGTATACATATATATATATATGTGTGATATAAGTAGTTATGTTATAATATGCTTTTAGTTTTTTCTAAAATGAATTTCTCCTAGACCTCATCTCTATATAAAAAATTATGTTCTATTTTAAACTATAATCTTATAATATATTCCTTAACATTATAAAATAAACAATTTTTCTAATGTTTTCTAATTATCAATATGCATCATATTAATTTTTTGTTTGTTTTATAGGATGGTAAAAGATAACAATTGAGGTATTAATCATAAATTTGAATTTATGTATTTACTTTGTAAAGATGTGGATTTATTTATCAATATTTTGAATTCATTGTTATTTTCTTTATAAATATAGATTTCAATTCTAAACTATAAAAATTTATATAATCTTAAAGACTATTCTTGTTTTGTAAAATTGTCCCAATTCATATTTTCAAAAAACTTTAAGAGTTAAAAATACTACTATAAATTAATATCACTATATTAATAAAATCTTGTGGTCCCAACATTATTAATTTATAGAGGTTTTACTGTATAGTAAAATTAATTAAATCAATTTATAATACGAATAAGTTTTACCGATAAACTATATTATGTATCCAACTATGTAAATCACAAGTAATTCACGGGTTATTTTGTTAAACTCACAACTATATGGTAGAGCGAGTAATGAATAATATTTTTACGAATGCAATCGACTGCATTGAAATATAATAAAAACTAACATATTCTAATTTGTTAAAAATCGTACGTATATGTAAAGTATTACACCATGATATAGCTCGGGTAGGATTCTAGTTGTAATATCAAAATAGTTATGTTATTTGTTATTTGCTGGCCATAGTTTATTTTGTTGGCGATCTTTGCTCTAAATGTTGTCCAGCAAAATATATTAAGTAAAGGTACCAAGAAACATAAATATATAACTTTGTGGACTTTCACAACAAAAAACATTTGACTTCAAGCGAAAAATGGCCTGGCATACCATCTGTTGTTTTCCTTATGATGCCATTGCAGTCTTGGCCGCATCGGGTTTTGAAGCTAATGTAGAAGATTGCATTCTTCGCCTTCACCTTCTTCCATGACTCCACATTTTCTCTGGTTCTTACAACTATCTTCTTCATTTCAAATGGCTTTGCAGACTCCAGCCCATCCTGCATTAATACAGCACCAGAACCAAAGTTTTAAAAAAGAGATTACATAGCCTAGACAAAACTAAAACCCCTCCTTTTTGGTTTTGGTCAAGTCTGTTTTTCCTCACCCGATTAGCTTGCCATTTGGAGAACAATGAGAGTTCCGCGTAAAGATCAAGCCATTCCTTCTCTTCTTCTAACTCCGAATAATTTATCTGCATGATCATCATGTCAACAACATCACATCCTCTTTGCATCTAACTTCCATAATTCCATAGTGAAAGTGAGAATCTCTAATTAATATTAGTCTTTTAACACATGAAATGCCAACCTCATAGTATTGCAGCTTATCCCTTCCCGTTAGTGCATCTTCTGTGATCCACTCGGGCATATCACCTCGGTAGAAATAATCCACGAGATATTTGTTAAATTCAAAATGTTTGTCGTCCTCCTCTAAGAGACACAAGTTTGACATAACCATGTAACATTATATAGCCGAATTAAAATAGTATTCGTGACAACCAAAAAGGTGCACACTCATATATCACACATATACATTCATTAACTTACCTGGAGTTTTCGGCTTTAATATGCATCGCGATGTAATTGCGCTCAAGCAACCTATATTCTCAATTGCATACCTAAGTTGCACTTGTACCTCACAACTGGAATGGCCTACTGGATCCATTGCCTCCAAAGTTATGGAATAAGAAATAAGTGAGGTCATCCGTGCGTCACAGTTGAGTACCTTTAAAAGTTGTAAGTTTGTCCCCTACAAGATGAAAAGGAGCAAAGACAAAAATTGTAGCAAAAGGTGAGACTCAAAGTTTCACTAAGATCACGAGAAACTTGTAAGAATATAGTATCATGTACTTCCTTTGTTTCGAGTACATAATTTTTTTAAGTTTTTCACATATATTATTAAAAAAACATCTAAAAATTGATGATGATTGCATCATTTTCTGTGATTCACAGTATTTTAGAATACTAAAACGAAAATATTTAGTTCTTTATTTTGAAATTTGTAAATCGTAATTAATAATGCATCGATAACTTTAAAAAGTTTCTTTTGAAACAAATTTTATCTCCTAAAAAAATCATCATTTAGGAACTGAGGGCATATTAACTATTACATACATACCTTTCGCAAATTGTAGCAATGAAGTCCAACTCTACCGAATAAAACTATTCTTGGATGAGGTCCAAATAATTCCAAGTCAATCCTTTGTTGATTGTAAGAATATGTATCTTCTGTCTAAAAACAATATATCACAGAAGAATTAGGAAATATAAATATCTCAGATAAAGTACTGGAGACCTAATTAGGTTCATCCACAATCAAATCTTATTACCGGAAGAGCCCAAGCATGTTGGTCTGTGTTGATTGATTCTCTTGGTCTCTCATCTTCCAGCTGCGATGGTTCCTCAACGGAGGCTCTGGCTTCTTGCTTCCACAATCCGTTACCCATTTTTGTTTTGTGAAATCTCACTGAGCCCCTAATTTGAAAAAAATTAAAAAACAAATCTTAGGAGGGGATTATTGAATAGTGTATTTTAATGGAAGTAGATGTGTTTTTAAATCAATGTGAAATCTGCTGTTATTTAATCACCTATTGATAAAGTACAATAGAATCCTCTGTTATTTAATTTGTATTTGATTTTGTTGTATTTTTTTTTTTGTTAGAATGGATTTTGGGTAATTTTCGTCTAAAAGACTAAAACATGAGTAAAAAAATACCAGTTTTTTTTTTGTTTTTAACATCATTACAAATAATAAGTCTATTTTTTAGAGGGACCGGGTTCGAACCCGTATCTGGTGAGAAGGCAAGAGAGGTAAAATCCACTAACCCACTTGCTCCTTCTCAAATACCAGCTTTTTATTTCATACTTTGACTAACTTCAGTGAAAAGGTATAGGCAAATATATAAAATTTCTCAAAATTATTTATCTTTCAGAGAATCTAAGCACTAAAATTTTATGTATGTTTTAAAATTTTAATTTGCAATAACTATTAAGTTTTCTAAAATTTAAAATTTTAATTTTAATTACATTTCATTTTTAAATAAATATTTTATTCCCTAACCACAAGTTAAGAGTCTACCATTAAAGACACAAAATACTATAAAAAAAAAAAAATACAATCTCTTAAGTCTTAACTATTCTTAATTTTATCATTTTAATACTAAACTATTCTTAAGAGCTTCCCATTAATCATGTTCTAATGACATCTAAAGAAAAAGAATTTTAGTGACATCTTCAAATTGTATCCGTCAAACCATTGTTGCCTCCTTCAGTTCTATTTTTATTTTTATGTTTATTTTTTTTTATCAAATTAACAAGTCTCCATTGTCCAGGAGAACTAAGGGCAAGGGCTACGGCGGCTTATTCGTCCATCCCACCCATTTTAAAAAAAAAAATCAAAAATGAAAAAGAAATGAAGGACGTATCCATAATCGCGATCGTCATGCGCTTCTTTCTTCATTAATCACGGGCCCCACTGACACGTGGCGGCCCGCAATTGGTTTCTTTCTTTAAAAAAAAAAAAAAAAAAATCTGATGAAGGACGTAAAACCGATGCACACGCTCTAATATATGTTTATGTCTTTGGTCCAAACTTCAAAGAAATTACATAAACTTTACAAAACACCTGCTCTCAATTAATATATTCAAATTCATTTAAAACAATCACATTTTAAATTTGTTTCATTAAATTGAGTATACTAATCATAAAAAATAATGATATCATTCCTGCTTTGTTCTTGCAATTTTAATACCTTGATACAACTTGCCAAATAAAATGTTTCAAATCGACAAAAGTTTTGTCCTCAGTGACGGCAGAAGAAATGAAAAGGAGTTGGTGGGTTTGAGTAATGCATAGAAAGAACTTTCATGGCCACAATAGCATTAGCTGTCTCAGTATAATGAATCCCATCCCAGCTTACGAACCGAGACCCTTTGTCACATACATTAGAGCCTCTGTGCCCACATGTTATCTTCACATTGTAGTTATATGGACTCCCTCCATATCCACAACAAGCCATTAAAGGTCTCTCAAAACCTGCATTGATCTAACTTAGATATATAAACCATTCCATTTAGTCATTGATGGTAAGTGGAATGAGTAACTCTGCTTTACCGTATTCGTTGGAGTTTGCAATGAGACTGTATTTGATAGTGTATATGTCGACATTGACTATTGTAGCGTCTTTAAGTTGGTTCCTTAGCTCCATACACATATGATCCAATCTTTGGTTAAACACTTTTGCTGCTGAGTTGTAACTTGCTAAGCAACCGTGCTGGTCGAGATCTTTGCTTTTAACCATTGAAAGTTTTTGAGGTAGACAACCTAATGGACCAGTATTGTGAATCCAGAATTTTCTTCCTCCTTCGTCATACAATCTCTACAGACCGCGAAAAACTGATTATAAAAGCTTATACATTGTGCATACGAAAGATCGAAAATCGCACCTTTATGCCGCTTTTTATCTCGGAAATAACTTGTGGAATCAGCATAACAGTTTGAGAATACGAGTTGCCTTTAGCGAAAGAACGGGCAATATCGTTTTGTCCTATATCAATCATGTACAATGCGTTTCTGAATCCATCCTGACTTATGTACATGCTCTTTAATGAATCTACAAACACATATGCCAAATCTGGTCAAGAACGTTTACTAAGAACAGAGGATATTATATACAACATTGATTTGGGATGAGGTCTGGTTTACTTGAACTAGAAGCGAGCTCGAGTGACCGGGATTTGAAATGGCTGAACTGCATTAGCTGAATGCTGAGGGAGAAAGGGACGTTTTTAGGGAGAGTAGTGGATCCAACAATTGCAAAATTTGCACCGTTTTGAAACTTTGTTCCACCTAATGAATCTAAGTATGGCCTCAAAAGATTTGTATTCAAACTCTGGCCTGCAATTTATATTTCCTCTTCAGTACATTAATTTACCAATTTTATATGAATGCCAAAAGCCAAATACAAAACTCAACACATCACCATAAAATGAGTATGGTTTCTAAGTTACACACTTGAAATTTCTCTATATTTTGAATTACGTTGGTTTCAAGTCACACTTGAAACTATGCCTTGCAAAAATACTGAGCAAAACCAAACCGAACCAAACCAATTCAAACAAAATTTCACCAACAAGAACCTAAATTAACTATTTATGACCTTTTGATAAAATAAAATAAAACTATTATGACCCAAATCACTATATTCTAACCAAATCTAAACTAAAATCAAACTATGAAAAATTTAACCAACATTGATTAAAATTAATATTTTTGATTAAATAAACAATAAAAAATTTAGCGGAAATAATTAGTTTTATTTATTTATTTAATCTAAGACCAAACTTGGAACTAAACTCAAACCAAACCACATCAAAATATTTCAACTAAAACAAACCAAAAAATTAATTGTTCTAATTCTAAATTCTATACAGTTAAACACGTTCAACATTGGACCGACTTTGTCCAAATAGATCTCAATGACCGAACTACTTGTTTCACACCTACGACGCACCGACATTTATGTCTTAACACATCTACACCGTCCATTTACAAATACAAACGAACGGTGGATCTAACACGATCACTACCAAAAACAGAGTATTCTTTAGGTTCTTGATTTGTTACTTACAGAGGAAATCGATGAGAAGACGTCCGTCAGACAAACGACCAGTAGATCGTCGGAAAAACAACCGTCCGTTTGGTAAGCCAATAGGGTAACCAAGTCCAGCAACAAGTCCTCCTGTATCTGAATTAGAATCTCCAAAGTTAAAAATCACCGGTGGAGTTGTACAACTCGCCGCCGCAGAGGGTTGCCGGAGAACGAGAAGAGCTAGTAACACGAGTGTAACAAAGATAGAGAATGTATTAGAGTAGTGAAAGAGTGTAGCCATTGGAGAAGCTTTGGTAGTGTGTGAAGAGAGGTTACCTAGCTTGGTAACTTTTTTTATATTTCAATGTGGTCCAAATGATATTTATATTGTATACCAAACTATATAAGAGTGGTGTAGATTTGTATATATTAAATCATCTCTGACAAAACTATTTACTCCATTAGTCTATTAGGACAAGAATCTTTCTGTGGCTTTGGAAATATTTGTTTACCTTAAGGTTACAAGAAAAATAGAAAATACCCAAATATGTATTGTGTGAAAGTATACATTGGCCGTAAGGAACGGAATGGTAAACGTGAATTAGGCTTTCTCTTTGGGAATCACAATGCTCATGTCTCCTCTTCTTCTCTTTGTCAAGTCTTGAGAAAATGTTTGGGTATGTTTATAAAAGCTCTAGATGAGTTTTCATTACCATAAATAACACATATACATCAATGATAACATCCTTACTATAATAACTAGAGCTTTTTGATGGAGAACAGAAGCTATATAACGAACGAGAACGCTAGATCTCAAAGAGAACTTGGATTCACGAACGGATCTTGCTTAGAACGTCAAAACTTGACGAAGAAACAATAGGGATAGGGCGAGAATCCTCTTCTCAAACAATAAGCTCTTTAGGTTGAGAATCCTTCTCTCTAGGCTTTAGACAAAGCTCTATGAAAACTCTTTTTTCAATAATCCAAAACTAATTACAATAATAAGTTACGTCTCTTTAAATAAGAGAAAGAGAATGAAAACCCTAATCTAAAAAAGAGACAAATAATAAAAAACATTCAAAGCCCAAATAAATATTAAGCCCGTCAACCCAAATAACGAATTAGCTCAAACGTGACTAACAACATGTTTATCTTGGAGATGCGCTGCATCACTTTTGATCCAAAACTTTTATGGTTCATGACTCCTTTGATAGTACTTGTGTCAATCCCACAAAAGTAGATTAACCCTTTCACAAAATATAGCACATAGGATTTGAACTCAGTTTCGGTAGCAATTTAACATCCATATTATCGGTTGAGTTTAAATGTCTATAAATAATGCAACTTTTTGTAGTTCATTTTTGTTGTTGTTGTCACAAACATCATCTAAGTAAAGGAAAAGAAAATTTATTATTTTGCCAAAAAAAAAAATTTGAAATTTATAACAACTCAACATAAATAGAATATAGTAAAATACAAATTGAAGTCAAGTGCAACCGTATACCAAGAAACATGTAGCCTCATCTTCTCTGTGGATGTTGCCAAGTCCATATAAGTAAGTTCAGTTACATTGCTCTCCCTCTGCGTCTTTAATCTGATTTTCGATTTCTGCCTTTTGCTCCATTAAGGCTCCGATTTTTTCATCGATCTTTTCCAGCTTCGATTTCAGCTTAGTTATATCATTACCACCCTTCTTCTTCTTCCCATCTTTGTCTTTCTTGTCCTTTTTCTTTGTTTTTCCCTCCTTTTCCTCATCACCATCTTCAGCTTTTGACCCTTCTATATTGACATCCTTAGCATGATCTTTCTCCTCTTCTTCAACCTCGGTCTTTTTCGTTTCCTTTGTATCTTTCTTCTTGTTCTTTCCTTTATCTTTCTTCTTCTTTTTCTTCCCCTCTTCACTCTCACCGCCTTCTCCTTTAGACTTCTTCTCTTCCTTGTCATCTTCTTCCTCCACATCTTTGATACTCTTCTTCTCAGCTTCTGGTTCTTCTAATATAATATCTCTCGACACCACTTCAGTTTCAAGGTTTTTCTCCTTCTTCTTGTCTTCTTTGTCATCCTTTTTACCCTTCCCCTTCTTATCCTTTTTCTTCTTTGTTTCTCCTTCATCCTCATCTTTATCTTTTGATTCTTTCTCACATATCTCATCTGTTTCCTTCTTCTTCCCCTTACCTTTATTCTTCTTTTTCTTTCCCTCCTTATGTTCCGCTTCTTCTTCTTTCATCTCATGATCTTCTGCATCATCTTCTTTCCCAGCCTCATCATCCTTCTTCCCTTTCAACTTCTTGTCTTTCTTACCCTTGGATTCATCTTTCTGTTTTGTTTCTTTATCTGCCTTCTTCTTCTTTTCCTCTGTTCCTGATTCATCCTTCTCTTTCTTCTTCTTCTTTTTACCATCTTCTTCCTCTAACTCCTCCTTTTCTTGTGAAACATCCTCATGTTTCTTCTCTTTATCTTCCTTCTTCTTCTTTCCCTCTGATCCTGATTCATCCTTCTCTTTCTTCTTCTTCTTTTTATCATCTTCTTCTTCTAACTCTTTTTCTTGTGATACATCCTCATGTTTCTTCTCTTTATCTTCCTTCTTCTTGTTTTGTTTTGATCCTGATTCATCCTTCTCTTTCTTCTTCTTCTTTTTACCATCTTCTTCTTCTAACTCCTCCTTTTGTTCTGATACATCCTCATGTTTCTTCTCTTTATCAGTTTTCTTATCCTTTTCCTCTGATCCTGATTCATCCTTCTCTTTCTTCTTCTTCTTCTTTTTATCATCTTCTTCTTCTAACTCCTTTTGTTGTGATACATCCTCATGTTTCTTCTCTTTATCATCTTTCTTCTTCTTTTCCTCTGTTCCTGATTCATCCTTCTCTTTCTTCTTCTTCTTCTTTTTACCATCTTCTTCCTCTAACTCCTCCTTTTGTTGTGATACATCCTCATGTTTCTTCTCTTTATCATCTTTCTTCTTCTTTTCCTCTAATCCTGATTCATCCTTCTCTTTCTTCTTCTTCTTTTTACCATCCTTTTCTTCTTCTACCTCCTCCTTTCCTTGTGGTACATCCTCATGTTTACTCTCTTTGTCCTTCTTTTTCTTCTTCTGTTCCTTCTCTTCCTCTTTCACTTTTACATCACTGTCTTTGACCTCGACATCTCCATGGCCTTCTTCATGTTTCTTGGAGACAACTTTTCCATCTTTCTTCTTGTCATGTTTCTCATCTTTATCTTTTGAGTCATCCTTCTTGTCCTTTTTCTTCTTTGATTTCTCTCCACTCTCCTCCTCCTTCTTTGTTTTAACCTTCTCAATAGACTTCGCCTTCACGTCCATCTCCAACTCAACATTCTCTCCCTTCTCCTTTGTATCCACTTCCTCTGTCTTCATTTTGACATGAAGTTTCTCTTCCTTGACAATTTCTTCTTTCGATGCCATAATTTTTCTACTATAAATACAAAAAGAAACAACTTAGTATAACAAAATTCATTACTATGAAAAAGAGCTACTAAGCTAGAGGACTAATGTATTGTGCCTATGGCCCTTTTCGTTTCGAGGTTGCTAGCGATTAGCGATTAGCCAGCAACCAAATCGTTTTCAATTTATAGTCATTGGTTCACGCGTTCAGCAATAAATTTTCATAAACATTTGATAATCAATGGTTCACCAACACATTTTTCAACATCGAAACTTTTTGGTAGTTGGTCATCTAAACCTGTCACACACATGTTTTAATGAACCAACGATTACCAAAAAAAAAGAGCCAACGATTACCAATAAACATGATCGGAACAACTACAAAACATAAGTCTACTACAAAGCAAGACCATTCCTTAAGGAAAAAATGAACAAGAATGTTCCATACTCCAAATCAAGAACTCCAAGAAACTCTCCGATTGAGTCAACCAACAAAAAACCAGAGTATAGAACCATTGTTTGGGTTAGGCAGAGATTGAATCACTATATTTAAGATGAGACTAAACAAAAAAAAACCTACCAAGCTAATGGCACTAGATCATAACAAACCCAAAATCTGAGATCTATCAAGAAGATGACTAATACAGAAAACTTGAAATTCAAGGAATCTTTATAAGAACCAAATACTTTTAACAGAGATCAAATTAAGAATTGAAGAGAAGAAAATGAACTTATGTACCTTGAAAAGTTGTTCTTGTGTTTGGAGAAAGACGAGCGAACCGATCTGTAAAGTGATCTATGAGATGTGTTTTGGTTATATTTATAGGAAGACTTTAAAGTAAGAGATAAAGACTTACTCTCTTAAACGAGTCACACGGATGTGACGCTGAGGCTCACGCGTTGGTGCCACGTCTTTGTTTTTCCTCATTGCTAATTTTTCTAAGTCCAAGAATTGAAAAAAATATTGTTATAATAAAACTCTTGACTTTTCTTTAGTAGAATATTTAGAAAATTTTGATTTTATTTTTCAAGGTTTTATAAACTTTGGATTTTAGAATATGAATTTTAAGATTTACCTTTGATTTATAATTCATATATGGAACCAAATTTTCCTTTATTTTTTATAGTATTATTTAAAATAAAGAAAAAAACCTGTCCCAAAAAACTAATATATGTCACTTTTTATAGATGGGATTCAAGAAAATGTAATCTAAAATGGGACCAATCCAAAATTAATTCAAATCTTAGAAAATTTGGTCCATTATACTTTAATGTTATCTAAGTTTTGGTCGTAAAACATTTCAATTTGGTCCATTATATTAGGCTTAAGTTTTTTGTTTGGTTAGCAAAAACCTAATATATGTCACTTTTTATAGATGGGATTCAAGAAAATGTTTTTTTTTGTTAAAAAAAAAGAAAATGTAATCTAAAATGGGACCAATCCAAAATTAATTCAAATCTTAGAACATTTGGTCCACTACACTTTACTGTTATCTTAGTTTTGGTTCATAAAACATTTCAATTTGGCCCATTAGACTTAGTGGGGGTTATTGAATAGTGTATTTTAATGGATTCTAATGTATTTTAAAATCTGCTGTTATTCAATTATGTATTTGATAAAGTACAACACAATCCACTGTTATTCAATATGAGTTTGATTTTGTTGTATTTTGGTTGGAAAGGATTTTAATGTATTCTTTTGTCTAAAACATGAGTAAAGCAAATACGAGCCTTTTCTCTCTGATTTGGATGTAGTTCATAGAAAACTATAAGCGAATAAATATTTTTAAAATTATTTCTTCTTCTTCTATCTATAACCGAGAATCTATAAAGCATGTAAGGAATTTAAATGATGAATAAGTGCAAGATCCACCATGGCATCTTCAAGCGGAGAACTTTGCTGGGAAGGAGGAAGAAGAAGAACAATGATCATGACTTTAAAAACAGAGAAACAGATGCTTCATTAGGAAAATAAATCCACAGATCCCTTCAACATTTTATTTGCAACATACTAAATCTTTTATGTTGTTTGTTATTTTGATCCTTTTCCTACGAAGAACCGATGTTGCCGTCTCGGAGTCGTCAGAGTCGTCACGAAACAAACATAATTTAGATCTGATTTTTCCTTTTTATAATACAGAGCAGTTACTTTTTTAAATTAATTAATGATTATAATCTGTAGTGAAAATACATTAAAATCCATCGGTTTTGTAATGAATCTATCAAAATCCTTTTAAGTACTTTCAAATTCAGTTACTTTAAAATACATAGAAATCATCAATTCAATAACACCCCCTTAATTTTTCTTGTTAGACAAAGTTAGTGTATCAAATTTTAGGAATAATTTGTGCTACGTTAATTTGGTGTATGATAAGAATTAATTTTGGTCCAAAGAAATGAACTTGTAATTTCTTTGGTTTTCTTTTTTTTTTTGTCAATAGTTTAAATTTAACTATGAGAAAATGAAAATTTTATACTAGATAATGGATCTTGAGTCATAAAAATAAACATACATGTACATTTTTATGATTTCGGTTATAACACAAAAAGATACTCGTAAATACACCAATTAATGACGCAATTATATATACATAATTGAAAATAATTTAAACAACAAATCACCATTGTTTTGATGGACGGTCGAATCAATTCAGACAATGTTTAGGAACCATCTTACCACTTGCGGAACCATCAACATTTTCACACATTGCAATGGAAGGACCACCCTTAAGTCCGTTATGCTTTAGATTAATGTCAATTAGCTTAACATTTTTGCATGGGAAGCTTTTGCTACATTGCAAATTCACAGCTACTTTGTTCTTCGACGTTCCATATATGTTCTTTAACTTAAGGTCTTGGATCTGTACGTGAGACTCACCCTATAAAAATGAATCACATACAAGTTGTCTTTGTTTAGTTCTTGCTTGTGATCAAAGTAAATAAAATGAAACTTTCTATTTTTGTACTAAGAAATTTAACCTTTTGTGCATGTTCACAAGGTGGATGGGGACAATACTTCTGATCAATGTTGATTGGTTTTTCAACATCAATCATCTGAATGTTCTCGTACACAAAGTTGGAAACAAGGATCTTTGATGCTGAAGATTCCCAAGTCTTGATCCTAATACCATCACTTGTACCATTGAAAACAATGTCTCTTACCGTTAAGTCCTTCACGTCTTTCTCATCTTTGTTCTTTCCTAAGCTTCCAACACTAATCCCATGTCCAGGACCACACTTGACATTAGAGATATCAAGGTTAGTGGTTCCAGAGAGAATAGCGATACAATCATCTCCAGTACCAATGTTTGTGTTTGAGATGCGAATGTTACTACATGAACCCATCTTTATACCGTCAGTGTTGGGACTATCACCTGGAGCTGTTATAGTGACACCAGTAATGTTGAAGTGATGGACCGAGAAGAAGTTGAAATGTCCCATTTTGCTGTTGAGTGATGTTATGTCTTTGATATTTGAGTTGTTCACGAATGCAAATCCCATAGTCTATGACAAAAAACCAAATTATCAAAAGAGTTGTTACTTTCTCATATACTGAAAAATGACTAATCAAATTATTTTCATTGTATAAGTATCATATGACATGTTTTGTACTAAGCTTTAAATGTAAATAAGAAGCATATTTTTGAAAATAATGCAATAAGTGAAAAGGTTAAAGAAATTACCATAGCTAGTTTAGGACAATTAGAGTTTTTGTTACAGTCATTGAGTGGCCATGACTTTTTTCCTTGGCCGTCAAGTGTACCAAAACCAGAGATGGAGAGATCATTGATGTACCTAAAGTTAATCCAGGTGTCTTGCTTAATGTCGCTAGGGTTTGCAGAAGCCAATAAAGTTCCATCAATGACAAATTCAATAGGGTTTTTGCATGGACCAACAAACTCTACACCACCAAGATAGAAAGTTCCTTTCGGTACATAGATTTTACTTCTTCCACTTCTTCTTGCACATGCACGGCTCCATACACTTGTGAATGCCTAATTATGTATGCATTGAGAATGATGTATGATAAATATAAAACTAAGTAAATCAGGAAAATTTTAAATAGATAGTTATCTTTTTCTTTGTTTAGATATCTCAAAAATAAAATAGAGATATAAAAATTAAATTAAAAAAAGTGTTGTACGTGTACATACATTGGCATTATCAGTTTTGCCGTCCGGCTTCGAACCGTGGCGTTGGACGTTAAACACTTTTGTTTTAACGGTCGGACGACTTGCAACGACAATGAAAAAGAGACATAAACACAAGGTCTTAAAGGCATAAGCAATGCATACCATTTTGTTTTGTTTTGTTTGGGGTATATATGGAGATATTAAAACCTTGGTGTTTATCAATACTTGTTGTATAGGAGACAATGAGAAATGTTAGCCTATATTATCTTCTTATATAGAGTTAGCATTTCTTGATGAACAATTAAACTGAACTTGATATTTGTTATTAATTAATGGTTATATTTTAGTAGTTTTTTTTGTAATGCTATTGATTGGTTGTTATCTTGTTATGAAGTTTTTCATGTATGTGATTTTATCTTTTATATATTCGTTGAAACAGAATCTACAATTTGGGGGATGTGCCAATAAGATTTAACCATAAATTGGTTTTCGCTTAAAAACATTTCAAATACACTCTTTTTAGGTTTTGTTTCAATTTTAACGGATATGAAAGAATTAGTTTTCTCCAATAAAAGAAAAAAACATATATAAATTTTTTATTTGTCTACCTAAATTTCTATAAATAATGTTTTGAAGTAAATAAAATATTGTTAAATCTGTGAAATAATTTTTCAGTACAAGATAAACGATACAAAATAAATGTATTATTATTGTTTTTTTTTCTTTTTCTCCCAACAATTATGTTTGCCTAAAATCTACTTCGCCTCCCACTTTTACCGTACTATCGTATATAATATATATATTTTTTTGTCAGCTTCATACTAAAAGATCGACTCAAATGAGCCAATCAAACGGAACATTGTTTACAATATCGTATATAATATTATTATATCATAAAGTAAAAAAAAAAATAACAAGCTCTAATATTTGTCATTTTCTCTATAATATTTTTAGTATTAAATTTATGTAACTGAATTTATATAATATAAATTATCTTATTTATTTTTATATTTAAAACAATACGTTATGATATCTTTACAGCCCATACATCATTTCTAAACATGTTTCATAAATAGGATTCAAGAATTTTTCTTTCATAAATTGAGTTAAGGCCTAAAATTTGTTTTGCTTCTTGGCCCATTTATATGTTAGGACACGCCCAATCATTTGGAAAGACATGCTGCTACAGTTATGTTATATACATGATAGGTTGTTGAAAAGATCTCACTCGATATGTGCAATTAGGCCTGGGAATCCGAACCGAACCGATTTGTCCGAACCGAACCGAACCGAGATTAGGACAAATCGGTTCGGTTCATACTAATTGATCATAACCGATCGGAATGGTTATAATTTAAATTCGGTTAACCGAGATTTTCGGTTCGGTTCGCTCGAACCGAACGGTTAACCGAAAAGAAGAAAACCCTAACCTTATATTTTTGTCTAGCCTTCATTCTTCTCACCTTCTTCCTCATTTCATTGCTTTTGTATTTTTTTCTTCTGGGCAACCACGATTCTTCTTCTTCCTCATATCTTTTTTTCTTTTTTCTTCTTCTTCTACTTCAGTTCATCATCATTATCTTCTCCTTATTCTTTCATTCATCATCCTCTCATCGTTATCATCACCTTCTTCTTCCTAATCCTCTTCCATCTACCATTATCTTCTCTTTCTTCATCATTATCATCATTATCATCACCATCTTCTTTCGATTTATGTCTTTTATTATCATACTCATAATCAATTCATCATCTTCTTCGCCTTTCAGAGCGATACTAGTAGCACCATCGATCAGATCTCACCGCCCGTTGTGTGATTCTTCGTTTTCCTGATGTTTTTTTTTTTTTTTTAAAGAGTTTTGTAACCGTGTTTTATTTACCGAAATAACCGTGTCCGAACCGAACCGAACCGAAGTCATATTCTGTTAGTTTCGGAAGAGTTTTCATTTTTCGAAGTAACCGAAAAACCGAAAAACCGAAACCGAAATACCCGAAGAAACCGAAGTCGCAGGCCTATGTGCAATGATCTTTGAAATTTAACATTTGTAAATTCTTTCAAAAATATGTTATATCTAGTGAAAGCTATATATTGTATCTTTAACAACAACAATAAAAATAGCTGTATTTTGTATACATAATTTGACAAAAAAGCTAAAATTATATCTCAAAATTTTGATAATTATAAAGTCTGTATCAGATTCTTAAATTTTAATGTTTAATATCAAATGAAGATCAAGTTACAGTAAAACCTCTATAAATTAATACTCGATAAATTAATAATCGCTATAAATTAATAAATTTCTCCGGTCCCAAGTTGGGACCAGTGTAATTTTAGACATATTTCGATAAAATAATAAGATAATAATTTTTTTGAAAATCCTTTGTAAATATATGGTCCCAATAATATTATAAATTAATAATTAAGTAAAATTTTCAAAATATATGTATATATAAACACGTTAGTTTTTGTTAGAGTTTATTTCTAATATTTTTCTATATCAAAAATTGTTAGCATTCTCTTTCAAGACATAATAATTATTATTTTCTTTGTAATTGATTATATAAAATAGTAATTATCATGATTAAATCTCATTTTTAAATATTTTTCTGAAAAAACTTTCAAATTAGGAAAATCTCTCTATAAATTAATAATGATTAATTTATCGATAAATTAATACCTCTATAAATTAATAGATTTTCATGGTCCCAACATTATTAATTTATAGAGGTTTTACTGTACTTATTTTTGAAATCTTAACCAAAATTAGATAATCAACAACATAACACTTGAAAATTATAATGAAGATTTTGATGATATAGAAGATCCCAAAACTGTGTACTCTTATTTTTGTCAACTTTTATTGTTTGTTAACCGGGAAAATCCCAAGCCAACCAGAGGTGGTGGGCTAGTGGTTCTATTCTGTTGGAAGAGTCGCTATGTTGGTGTAGGCCAGAGATCAATTATCCCCAGACGCTGCTAGTTTTATCCCTTTGGCCATATGAATATGGGCCTATTGCTTAAGGACCATTTGAAAAACTGGGGGATTCTACTCGTGTGATACCCTCTCCCCAAGAATTAGTCTCAGATCCTTACGTAGGTCTGGAGATTTACTTTGAGTTATTCAAAAAAAAAAAAATCCCAAGCCAAACTGTAATTTTAAGACCATAACCAATTATTAATACCTTCTCCTAATTTTGCTAAGAAACATGTTTTGTTTTTATGTAAGTACTGAAAAGGGATGAAGATACTATCTGGATGCTATGAACCTTTTCTTTAGTCCAAAATCAGTAACCAAACAATATAACTTATCAAATTAAGCACGACAGTAAAAAAACATGCAATGTGGTTAACAAACATGCACGTCACCTCCTATGACCTACGTATGTCCATCACGTGTTTATCTTCAATCACATCTCTCTTGTCATAATATATTAATCATAACCAATCATTAATCGTCGTCTCTCCAAATTTTATTAAGACACATGTTTTTTTATTTTTATTTTTAAAATTTCAAGTACTGACAAAGGATGAAGATGCTAGTAAGATGCTAAGCACCTTTTTATCAGTAACCAAACAATCACTTAGCAAATTAAGCACGACAGCTAAACCATGAAATGTGGATATCAAACATGCACGTTGCTTCTCTAAGCCCCTCACGGGTCCTTTATATATTCCCTCATACACTCTCACTCTATAAGTTCTCTCAAGTTATTTGTGAAGCCACAATAACCCTTCTCTTCCTTGACTTCTTATCTTTGTTCCATGGAGGGTTCGTCGACCAAAGTGTTGCGAAAAGGTTCATGGACTGCTGAAGAAGATAGTCTCTTGAGACAGTGCATTAATAAGTTTGGAGAAGGCAAATGGCACCAAGTTCCTTTAAGAGCTGGTATGTTGTTTACACACACACACACACTTATATTTAAGCACTATATGAAATATTCTTCGCTCAATGTTTTTCCTTTTGTTTTAATGAACAAATCATTTTCATCGTATTCGAGGTTTCTTCATAAATCAGTTTTTTCGTAAATATTTTCTTATGATACTTATTTTCTTTTCGTAAATAAGAAGTTTTGGGTCGAAACTCATACACTTAGACGCGAACCAATCTTCAATAATTTACCTCAGTACTTGAGAGTACTTTTTTAGGCACAAAGTGGCTTTTCTTTACGTCGCTTAGCTTCTTCTTGGAAAGAAAAAACGATGCCGACCTCAGTGAAGTCTTTTAATTCCTTTATTGGTTTGTCCTTTTGTAAATATATTCACTGAAAAATTCTGTTCGAAAACTTAAGTACGTGGTTGAACAGTTCTGTATTTCTATTGGTGTGCATAGATTCTTCTTGATAAAAATATACAAGGGGACAAAAAAGCTGTCTTAGTAATAGTAGTTATGTTTTGTAGGGCTGAACCGGTGCAGGAAGAGTTGTAGGCTAAGATGGTTGAACTATCTGAAACCAAATATCAAGAGAGGCAAACTTAGCTCGGATGAAGTGGATCTGCTTCTTCGCCTTCATAGGCTTCTAGGAAACAGGTACCTAACTCGCGGTCAGAATTATGTTATCATGTTTCAAACTGATAACTCATAAGGACAAGTCGCTTTAACTTGCTTAGGTGGTCTTTGATTGCTGGTCGATTGCCTGGCCGGACCGCGAATGATGTCAAGAATTTTTGGAACACTCATCTTAGTAAGAAGCATGAACCATGTTGTAAGATTACTCAGATTAAAAAGAGAAACATTACTTCTCATCCTACCACACCAGCCCAAAAAATCAATGTTTATAAGCCTCGACCTCGATCCTTCTTAGTTAACAATGGCTCCAGCAGTCTCAATGGCCGGCCAAAAGTTAACGTTATTACACCAAGCTTTGGAATCAATAACAATAAGGTTTGTGAGAATAATATGACATGTAACAAAGATAAGGAGAAAGCTGAGCATTCGAATAATTTAATTGATGAAGATCATATATGGTTGGAGAATTTACTAGAGGAGACCCAAGAGGTAGATGACTTAGTCAGAGAAGTGACGGCAACAGAGAAAGGTCTCACCTTGGGGTTTGACGTTGAGCAACTTTGGAACATGTTCGATGGAGAATTTGAATAGTGTTTATGGCTGTTTGTGTTGCATTTGTCTATGGGTTTGTTTTCGAATTTAGTGTGTATTTTTCTATATAAACTACTATTTTAAGCATTTTATTAAGAGTTTTGTGATTCTGTATGTGTTTCTTTGTTTAAAAATAAATGATTGATGTGTTTGGAATTTGGAATTTGGAATTTATAAAATAATTTATATTATTGTAAAGGAAAAAATCGTATTTTTCCTTAAAAGAAATTTCTTGCATAAATAGCAGGAGCATTAATTTAAGTAAAAAATTAGTAGCAAATGTGTAAATATGATTATAAAAATATTTATATTAGCTGACTTAAGTCATATATTTTTTTTTATTTTATTTAAATGCAACAACTTCAAAGATAATTCTTTTAGTTTAACGGTCAAAATAGTGGCTAGTTTTTGGATACTTGTAACTATAGTTATTAGCCACGTTTAAACATAAAATAAATTAAGTTATTAGATTGATTTGACTAAATTGTACATACAAAAACAAATCTTTGAAAATATAATATCAAATAGAGGAACGTTAAAAAAAATCATAACAAATAACTCTGCGCAACGCGCGGGTCTTCTCTCTAGTTCTTTTAGTTTAGCAATCAAAATAGTGGCTAGTTTTTGGATACTTGAAACTATAATTATTAGCCACGTTTTAACATAAAATAAATCAAGTTATTAGATTGATTCGATACAATAATAGAAGGAAATATTTTTTTTAGCAAAATTAATTAAAGAGCTTTATTTCGAAGTATAAATATTTTCATTTTTTTATAGAATAAATGTATTTGACCAACGAAAACCTAAAGTATGAGTAGTACAATGGAAAATCAAATAAGTTTTTTCTATTTTTCCTTTTAGTAAAATGTTTTTGGATGTTATAAGAAAAAGTGCTGAGTCTTGTTATTTTCAATAATTTATGCGACAATGACTTTTGTTTACACGAAAGTGTTGATAGCTCCATCGTAAAAACGAAAGATGTTGTCGTCTCTCACTAAAAGAGACAACTGATGTCATCTTCTGTTCACTTGAACTCTTTTTTCTCCATGCAAGAAACTCTATTCTCTAGAAAATCTAACTTGTTATATAAGAACAAAATTTGTTGACGTTTTTTAAAAAGAACTCTTTAATTTTGATATGATGAAGACTATATGTCTATACGTACGAACCACAAACTTTTAAACATATATATTTTTTAATTTAATATAAATCATATTATTTTATGTGTTTCTCCATCTATATCATCGATGATGTTTCAACATATATAAGCTGGAGAATTTGTAAGTGCAGTGTAATACAAATTATATCTACATTCCCTAACCCTAAACAAATTGTACCTATCATTACAAAAAAAGGTAATAATAATAATAGTAATAAATGTATTCCTTGTTATTAATTAGTCTATATATAATTAGTATAAAGTAATTTAAATCCATTTCATAAAATGGCTAGTTAATACAAAAAAATGCCAAAAGTAACTCATATCTGACTGAAAATCGAAGTTCATAAAATATATACATATATATATTTTATTAGTATATATATATTTTATTAGTATATATATATATATATATATTTACGTGACTAGTGTTATTTGTCAGTAAAAACTGACTAGTCTGGCTCAAGAACGATAGTATGATGAGTCTATTAGCAAAGCCAGATAAAAATCATTTTAGAAGAATGTAATATATAACGTAACGTGTAAGAAGAACAATCACACGAAAGACAAATAAAACAATTACTTATGAATTATTGTATATATATAGTATATGTTTCTTCTTTTTTTTATAGTTAAAATATCTCGTCAATTCAATGTAAAAACATACTCTTTGGTATGCAAATTGCATTCCGAACCGTTGTTAAGTCTTTATGTAAATAATGTTCTTTAGTTTTGGTTTGTTTGAGCCTATGTAATTAAGGTGTTGAGAATATATATATTCCCAAAATCAATTGAATTTCAATTCATAAAGAAATTTTATAATTTATTTACTACGGTTTATAAATTAATTTATTAGGAAAATGTTTTATATTGAAATTTTTTGGCAAGTAATATTTTTTTTAATAGGGTCGAACTAGCAATGCATGTGACAAAAACAAAAATGCATGGACACTTTCACCACTTTTTCGTATCTCAGTATCATCGCTCCTCTCTCTTGTCGTTATTACCATAAGTTATGGTCCATTGGTTTTGTCATGTATCAATTTATGTTGCATACGTGTATTTTGGGCGTATAGTACATCAATGAAGCAATAGAGGTAATAACAGACGGAATCGTCTATAAATCTTTGGCAGGACGTCTAAGCTAGCTCTCACCGTAGCCGTTGAAATAGTACTAGCTAGCTAGTAATAGTTCCAAAGATAGTTTAGATCTTGTACGTATGTGTGTTTATAATTCAATACTTATACGTGTATAACAGCACGCCTCATGGGTTTTGCTAAGAAGGTTTAACCAGAGGACAAGAAAGGACTTGTAATTGAATAGTGTTTTGTGTCGAAAGGTTAAAACGTGTGTTGCAAATAGATCTAACCAATTTCCACAACATGTTCAGTGTCGTATTTGGAAAAAAATATGAGTAAACGCTCCGGTCTACTTTGATTTTGAATAAGATTTGATGTCTATATTATTATATAAAATTTGGTTTCAAAGTAAACAGTTTATATGATCACGTCATGCGTTAAGTCTATCGATGATATGTTAACATGTAACCTTTTTTTTCTTTTTAATAGTCATAGAGGTTCTGGGTCGAATCTCATACATTATCTCAGGTCCGAGACTAAAGTATGTTATATAGTTATATAGTTTCGTCACAAGCGCTTCTCGAATCGGCAACTTTTAAGCTTTTACCGGAAGTTTTTACCAATTGAGTTATTACCACTTGGTAACATGTAACTTTATACGTGTTTACATGGATTTTATTAATTTAGTAGACTAGAAAATGTGGCTTTTAATGATTATCTGGTTCGAATATCCTGTTAATCAGTTTTGATAATGGTGTATATGCAAATTTCTCGAACCATAGTATCTTGGAGGAGAGGAGGATAAGCTTCCACGCAGATACTACCACCATTCAAACTTATTGTTAGGGTTTTGACAACCGGTGGTTGGATTTTCAAAGATCTCACTGATGGTCTAATTAGACCAAAGCTTTACGTAGTACAGTATCCAACACTTTTAACTGTCATGTCTTGGCTCCTTCTGTCTTTCAGATTGTGAAATCTGATCAAACATATTCGTTTATAAAAAACATGGCGATTTATCTTTCAATTATTGATGACTGTTTTGAACAATATATGTTATTTATCCATATTAATTAAAAAATATAAAAACAAAATCCAAGAGGCTTTGGATTTCCGTATAATACGTTTGAAATTTGTAAACATTAATCAATACGGTGGTAGAAAAATGATTGATACAGATTATTGGCAAACATCAATCGACACTATATCAAAGTTGAGGTAAAAAAATGCATTTTCGAAATTGTACAGGTTGAAAATGATCCTTTACCCGACTCATGTTCTTCCACACAAGGAAAAAAGAGAGTGAGAATAGCTCCTTAGGTCCATCATATTGGGTAATATGATGCATGAGAAATTTCATGAGCTAACATAAAAGTTCAATGGAGGACGACACAGAGAAATTCAAACTCCTGCAAATCGGCTCACGGGATGGATAGATAAGCAAGTCAAATATCAGCTTTCCACAATTTGAAGAGCGGGCGGTCGACAATATGATGATGTCTTTCAACGTTGGATTCAGTCTCGTATTTAGTCTTGTTTTAGAGTCATTTTCCAGTTTTTCTTAAAACAATTATTGCACTTGTTGTACAAATTTGAGGTTAAATTTTTATTTGAATATAATTTAACATTAAATTCAAAAACAAATTGTGGGCTTAATCTATATCAAAGCCAAATTAGTAACTAATGCATGCAATAACACTTTGTTCTTATAGTTTCCTATGTGTGATTAATTTTAGTTAATTTACGGGTAATTTGTAAAGTTGTTAACTTATTTTCCTGGTTTGTTTATATATTTTTACATGGTTACCACACAGAAATGAAAACAATTTGAGGTACAAGAAAAACAATAGAAACACAGAGGCTAAGAGCAATGCAATTGAATAATTATACAAACGGAATAAGAAACATGTTTAATTATGTGTTGGTCTTATTTTACTGGTTTGTGTTCATGTAAATTAATTCGTTGAAAATTTCTCCACGAACAGATGTTTATGTGTTGGAACAGGTCTTTATTTCTATTGGTGTTCACAGATTCTTCATGATAAAATGTATAGAAGGAGACAAATGAACAGTCTTAGTAGCTTTGATTAATGTCAATTATTTGTTTTGTAGGGCTAAACCGGTGCAGGGAAGATTTGTGTAGTTAAGAGCATGTCTAATGGGTGTTTGTTATTTAAAGTTTTTAGCATTTTTTTAACAATAATTTGTGTAATTTTCAAACATAAGAACTTTTTAAATTCAAGTATCAAGAAAGGAAAACTTTTAGTTGTGATTAAGTCGATCGGCTTGTTTGCACTGCATATTTTTCTTAAGTTTCGCATTTCAAAATTTTTTTTCATTAATTTAATTATAATATATGACTAATAATTTCAGTTTTATTCCCCCAAAATGGTAATTTCTGAACCCGTCAAAAAAAAATATTACTCCATGATTGGTAGCCCAAACAGGAGGAAAGTTGTTTTTAATTTTCTGTTTTTTCCGCCAAAAACGTGATTTTCCGTTTTTCCGTAAAAAATGTGATTTTATGTTTTTTCGCCAAAAATATGATTTTCTGTTTTTCGCGCAAAAATGTGATTTTCCGGTTTCCTGCCAAAAACATAACTATCCTATTTTTGGTTGAAATTTCATAATTTAAAATAATTTTATTATATTCTTTTTCAAAAAAAAAATTATATTATATTTAATAAAATTAGATGAGGTTATATTGGTAAATATATACATAAATTAAACTTGTCGCACCTAAATCGTAGGTTTAAATACGATTAGGATAAAAATAAAATGGAAAACTAATTCACTTTCCAAAAGCACGGAATCACACCACACTCAAATCATTTTACCATTCGATTGTGACGTGCGATTAGGGTCATTGCACCGCACCTGCAGCGGAGTGCCACTCGGGGCCTAAGTCGACCGGCT